ATTGAATTGACGATAATAATAAAAAAATAAAATGCAAAAAAGTGTTTTTGAATCCCGGTCTCGTGACCCTAAAATATACTAACACATTAACACATTGTGTGATAAGTCTTTGACGATTTGGGATCTGAAATAAAGGCTCCAAGGTAATTTCAAACGTCTAAAACATCAGAGAAAGACGAAGACCTAACGGTAGACAACGATAGACACCACGTAAAAAAATCTAAAGCGAAACACAATTTCCTTTCAGTCAAGTATCTGCTCCGCTAAAACTTGACGTTTTGAACAAAAATATATAAGTTTTTCGGTTACCAAATGGATAGAAATGGGAATTTGCATGATATGGTGATGTAAGAATAACCATAAATATTTATCATTTTTAGAAAACGAAAATATTTTTGCTCAAATTTCAATTTTAACAAATTAATTCAACTCGGCGTAGTAAAAAAAGAAGAAAATGACTCATTATCCTTTGATTTTGATTTCATCCTTCCCAACAATTCAATTTATTAAAAGTTGAGCAACCAAGCAAAATGAAAATATTACACAATATAAAAATCTACGCAAAAATTACGACATTTAGAAAGGAACTGTAACACGGAAACCTTTCTGCATTAGTATTAGTATATATTAATATGTTAAGGGAAAAATTAATGTAACCGTTGTTCTCAAAAAAAAATTCCACTCTAAAAACACCAAGTAAAATTTTTATATAATGTCATATATTAATCTATTGTCAACATTATCACCAGAAAGAAGGGAATTTGTATATAAAATTTATCATGGAATGTTTAATAATGCAGGACTTAATTCTGACAGAGAAAGTAGAAAAGATTATTATTTTTCACTAGTCAAGAAAAACAAGGAGCTTTCTGAAAATGAAAAAGAATATTGTAAAGAAAGATTTATTTATAGTTTTGAATTACAAAATGCAAAGAATAAATCAGGCCAACAAAAAGAATGTGACAAATGTAAATTGACAAGGTACTCTGATAGATTCTGTGAAGGTTGCATTAGTTTACACTTACAGAGTACCACTTTGACATCTGGAAATAAAATAATTGATGATTTTATTCAACAATGTCAAATGAAATCATCTCTGCCAGACTATATTTTAGAATGGATACCTTTTGA